ATTGACATTACAGATGGAAAATTATTTCCGTTTCCTCTAATTGAAGACTTGACGTAGAACTAAGGATGACTTTCACCAACTGCAATTAAAGTTAACCGACGATTAATTCAACGGAATTGATCAATCAGCTAATTGGCCGAGGTGATTGGTCAAATTCGTTGAGTTAATCACTCGATTGCGGTAACCGGAGTTGGTGGAAAGGGTCCTAAGTTGATTTAACGTAGGACTAAAATTTCGATTCGGGTATTTTTGTCAATGTACTTACATACATATCGCGTGTGCGCGATGCGAGAGGCCGATCGTTCACGCGTCTGTAGAATTTCCGAAAAATATAACCGAAGAATACTCCGTCCGCGCGCGGTTTCATCCCTGTTCAGAGGCGAATCAACTTGCGGCATCTCCCTCCTCCGAGAGAGTTCCTCCGCCGCGTTCAAAGGTGGCTTCCCGTCGCGCATAACGACTGTTTATTCAGAATAACTCTCCGACGAAACTAAAATCAGGAACTGCAACTCGCGTCCGCATCGAGACGAGTAAACCGCCCCGGGGGCGTAAAATAATAAACAGTATACCTTCGCGAAAACGGAGAAGAAGAAATTACGTCATATCACGGGGATTGGCGGGAATATCGAAACAACAACGCGCTCGCGAAAGGGACGAACGCTCACACGTAAACACACACACGCGCATACCCAGGTGTGCGCACGTGTGAACGAACGTGTGTAACGCGATACACCTCTGTCGCTTCTGCTTTCTGTAAAATAAATATCGATATCTTTCATACCTTAACGAACGAACGGTTCTGCATGGCTCGGCGCACTCCCGCTATTCCGCCGTCTCGGAAGTATAGAGGAAAATGCAGAATAAATGGAGGCGAAGGGCGCATCACGGTCTGGCCTCGGCCCAAAAAGGACTCGACAACTTCGTCGATGGCTTTTTCCGAGCGGGTCGGGAAAAGTACATCGCTCAGCCCGCTCAGTCCGTCGCTGTTGCGATGAACGGTAGAATAGGAGGCTGTATTACGGCCCTTCTTAATATCTCCGCTGTTAAGTGATGAATTCGAGCGATTACTTATAGAATCATTTGTTTAGCCCGTTGTTACGCAGTGACGATAATATGCCAATGCACAAATGTAAATGGGAGGCCGTAATACCGCCTTCTTTTTTAATAATAAAAAGATGCGAAAGTCGACGACTGAATTTCTTCGTGAAAAAAAAAAAAACGGACGTTTTTATTCCTCTAAAGAGCGCACAGAGAATAGCGATGGCGACGAAAGACAGTGATTACGATGTTTGTTATAAATTGATTGAGAGGCGTCGCGTTTTTCAATCGGCGGCCGAGTCGCGCCGGAATAATTCGCTCGCGTGCAGCGACGCGGTCATTAACATTCGCGGCGGGCTCGTAAGCTAATGAATTTAATTCATTCAGCGACGAAGCCGCGCGCGTTCGCGGCAATTAACGCAAAACCCCGCTGGTGTCCGTTTCGAGGGCGTACACTTTGGATCCGACCGCCGAATTCAACCGCCGCTGCATAAGCCAATTTCGATGTTTTCGCTCATGCGATATATCGATTTCCACCGTCGCCCCGTGTAACGTGGCTCGCATGTTTGTTTCATTTTTGTTTTATTTATTTGAATCTTTTTTAATAGACACATCACGCGCGATACGAGCCAGACGTAGCGCCGGCGTCGGATTGCAGAGGCGAGCCTCCGCTCGCTATCGATTTTCTTGACGAATTCCGAGGATAACGCGATTAACAGGCGGGGAAGCGAGGAGGGGGGATTCACGGTAATTGCAGTTTCGGGCGTAATGAAGCGATGAGAACGGGTTTAATATTTTCAGCAACGTGGAAATCCGGATCAACGATCGCCCGTGCGCCTCGTTTTCGTTCTCTTATCGGATATTATTATGCCGTTTGTTACGTGTGTGCTCGCTTTTACGACAAACGACGGCGACGGGATTCTCGTTGGCCCTCGGCGCGCTTGGCACGATTAACCGGAACTTAGCTCGCGATCGATAACACTGATAATTACGTGGACACGCGTAATTGGGACAGGCCTCTGGATCGATCGGCGCGGCGAATGTAAGAGCGTTTTTGACCATGATTAATATTCATGTCCGCGTCGGCTCGCGAAAGTCCGTCGATACCGCCGCTCGTAGGCCGCATACCAACTCGGACGAAATTTCACCTTCTCGCGTGCTGGAATCGCCCGGGGAAGCGGAAGCGGGGAAGACACTTTCACGAGCTCTTCCGAGATGCGTCGGCCTCGCGCGGACACACGTGTGCGGAGGGGGAAGGTGACTCGCACCCGCGTCACGTCGGTGCGATCGATAATGCTTCGGTACGCGGTGTGAGGAAACGGCGTTTATATTAGGTGTCTAAATTGAGGAGATTACAAAATCGACGACGAACTTGATAAGCATCGATAACGTACACCGAGAGAAAACTATAATTATTTTCGGTGTCCTGTTATTTTAACTACGAGAAAAGCAACAGCAACATGCGCGTAAGGTTATCGTCACTGATATTATAATAACATTTACTAGAAAAATAGTTCTCTCGACTATGCATGTTTTTATTACTATTTTCATGGTTAAAACTATAAAAAGTTATTGTTGACGCCGAAAATAACTATAATCTCATTCAGTGTATATCTAATGGAAAATCTATAACCAAGACGTATAAAAATTTTTCCGCGAACTTTTCGTATCTTCTTAGACCTTTAAGTTTAATCGAAAAGCTGTAAAAATGTGGAAGTTCGTGCATTACATATTTCCTACAATGACATATGACATCTGAATGCGATTCGGACATATAATTTCGAGAAGAAAAATAAAGAATTAGGTTCATTTTCGATCAAAAACAATTTCGTTATGTTTCTAAAACTTAACAAGAAAAATCTAACAAATCGAAATTATCCCATAGTTTTTGCGCGGTTTTATCATTTCAGAGACCACTGCGACGTTACATCATATTACTTACATAATATAATCCTGGATATGAATTAAGGCCTACAGAAAATAAATGCATATAGAGAAAAGAATTGTGACGGAATTATGACGGGAAAGAGCGATTGAACAAAAATACTAAAGGCATCGAATTAATTAATGTATCTAATAATTCGGGATTTAGCCGAATGATATTCGGTAATATGATCACGAACAAAACTCGACTCCATTTGTAGACGGAAGTTCCGCACATTATTCAAAGCAACCTTCGATGTCATTGAGGCTGGTCACGCGAAGCGAGACGTCGTTACCGTGTTCGCCCGTGTAAATGAAAGAGATCAACTTTTAATTACCATGAACCGCACCTGCGATAAAAGCCTCCAAGTTCCCTTCGTCATTGGAGTACGTTATCGTGATAACGACGCATCTCGTTTCCAATCGGATTGCACTCACTTGAACAAAGAAGCAAAAAAGAACCACTTCGCGTTATCGATATAATTTCTATGTGTGAGCCACGGATTGGATCAGTCGACCTGATATCGACAATTTCGGAAAATGTATCATCGAGGAAACAGAATCGTTGACTCAAAGAGGTAAAGTACGAAAATATGAAATGTTCCTTGATCGAACAACTTTTTAAACCGTAAGATTATATCGCATCGTTCCTTCCAGTTGATTGAATTCTATCGACATATAAGAGTCATTGAGTATAGAGACGGGAAAAAAAAGAGAGAGAGAGAGAGAGAGAGAGAGATTCGCTTATATCTGTTATAAAGTAAGTTTCCTCTCATCGGTGTTCAAGCAGACTCCGCCGCACGATATATCGACGCGCTGAACTCCGACGGGCAACGGTTAAGGGAACACGCGTATTTCGAAAATTTCCCATTTGTCCAGTCGGAGGAAGGGAGAAAGAGAAAACGTGAGAGAGAGAGAGAGAGAGAGAAATGCAGGTGGTATTACACAGTTCACGTTGCCGCGCATGATCTCCGCATTCGCCGGCGAGATGAATCCCGGCACCCAAGCGTTCATCGATCTGTCACCATGCATGGTCGCAATCATTTAGCGAATCACTCGTCCCAGTCGACCTCGCTCGTGCACAATCGCTCCATTGATTAGATCGCTGCCGGTGCTTATCACGTTGCTGTACCGAGCGATAACAATGACGTGTTCTAATCCGACAACGCCGGCGCGCATACCGCGCGGCGTAAGATTGCAAACGCGGCCAGTAAGCGATCAGCAGCGTGCAAAGCGCGGCGGAATATCGCGTTCCACCTCGTCACCGGCTCATTTTACTTGTTCTATTTGTTGAGGTTACATAATTTCGCGAAATAACGTGACGGTGGGTGAATGGTGGAAAGAGAACGCCGTGATTTTCCGAGGAACTATAACGACAACTCGTAACTCGAGTCGGTCGCGGTTGTCTCGTATCGACGACTCGAGTGCGCTCGTGGAACGAGTTGAAGTCTTATTGCGAAGGTGATTGGAGCCCTCTTCTGATTTTTCATACGCGAATAATCCTCCCCGGTATCTCTCAATACCATCGTCGGGAAATTGACGCGGCTCTCTGAGCGCACTGCTTCGTGTCGAATTAACGTCGAAATAGCTCTTTCGCCTTCGTTATTTTCATTTTCTGCGTTATTATTTACCTTTCCTTTTGCCTATAGGGACCAATAAATTGGTTATTATTATTAAAGAAGAAACTCTGTCGAACGATATTACATGAATTTCGTCTACTGCGTGCAGTAGGCGGAGCTGAAGTGGCAATTTTTCTGTTTGCAAGCGTGTTGAGTAACATTATTAGCCTTAGTTGATTTTTCGATACACCCAAGTTTTTCTCGAGCTTTCTCTTCAGAAATTTCCAAGTGATAAATCAGCGACAAGTAATTGATTGGACTATTTTGCGACGACATCTGAATTTCGCCGGACACTGTCGAATTCACCGGAAGAAGACGCGAAAATCGCGGCGTTCGCTTTCCGCGACTCGGTCATCGTCGCGACATCGATCCACCGTCTGGCCTGATAAAATGTCGCCGCGCATGTGGCGTGTCCATTAGGGATTCCAAGCTCGTCGCGGCTCGTCTCGTACGTGTTGATCTATCGTGGAGTTTCGCCGACGACGACGTCCGACGACCGGTCGCCGAAGCGGCCAGTTTCCTCCAGACTCCCGAGCGGAATCGTTCGTCCCTCCGTGCGACACCGCGCTCGAAGTGGAGTCGTTCACGACGGACGCGAGATGACGACCACCAAGCGGGGTGGTTACGCAACGCGGAGGACCCTCCTGACGTTTCTCCTGATCGTCGTCGAGCTCTCCGCGGCCGCGCAAACCTTCGTGGTGAGCAATGCAATAGACGACAAGGACTACTTCGTGGGGCCCTGTCTGGTCAACACCAACCAGACCTGCCCCGACGAGGAGGTGACGTTCTACCTCTACACCAAACACAATCCTGACGTGGGGCAACGAGTGCTGGTGAACGGATCAGGCTCGAATCTTGCCGACACCAATTTCGTGGCGAAGTCACCCACGAAGATCATCGTTCATGGTTATAACTCGGACATGCAGTTGGGCTATTTGGTGGACATTAGGAACGAATACCTGAGGAAGGGCAGGTACAATCTGATCGCGCTCGACTGGCACCGTTTGGCGATCGCGCCGTGTTACCCGGTGGCCGTTCACAACGTGCCTCACGTGGGCGATTGTCTGGCGCAGCTGGTGGAACGTCTGAGGGATTACGGAGCGACGGAAATCCACGTGATCGGCTTCAGCCTGGGCGCCCATGTACCGGCCTTCGCCGCCAACGCGCTGCGTCCTTATCGGCTGTCGAGGATCACCGGTCTCGACCCAGCGATGCCGCTTTTCGTCACCGTGAACAGAGATGAGAAGCTTGACGCGAGCGACGCCGAGTTTGTCGACGTGCTGCACACGAACGCATTTATCCAGGGCAAGATCGAGGCGAGCGGTCACATCGATTTCTACATGAACGGCGGGGTTAACCAACCCGGCTGTTGGGAGCAACGGAATCCTTTCGGCTGCAACCATCACAGGGCTGCCGCGTATTTCGCTGAGTCGATTAACTCGAACATCGGTTTCTGGGGCTGGCCTTGCCCCGGATTCGTGGCTTATTTACTGGGTCTTTGCCCGGCCAGGTTCCCCGCGGTGCTCATGGGCGAAAACGTCAATAGGACATGTCAGGGATTTCATCTGGTGAAGACGAAGGCGCAAAGCCCATATGCAGAGGGGAAGTTTACGGTTGACCAGCAGGATCTTTATGTGTGATCGTAGAACGATCGATTTCTCCTACGCAACTTTAAAATGATTCCCCTTCAGATAACATTAGGTGTGTTCGTAGAACTGTGGGTGGAGAAATTGCGCAATTAAGTTGATAACGTAGTGCGGAATTCTCGGATTTTTCTAGATTTTCTCTGATTAATTTAAATTTCAATGATCCTTCTCGTTTTTCCAAGTCTATGACAACCCTGAAAAGTCTCTTAAAGCAATTTTAAGACTTTTACTATTCATACTTTATAAATATAATTTCCTATCTGTCTCTAAGTATATTAAACGCATTATCTACGCACTTTCAGTTTTATTTCCGTTGTGTACCACATGAACTCAATAAAATATTAATCAAATCTCTGAGGACGTAGAAGCCGTCAGCAACTGGACATGTGAAAATAAATTAAAATTTAATTTAAATAAGAAGCAGAGTGTAACGCGTGATGGGACGTTTCATCTCTTCATCGGCCTCATCTGTGTGTCGGAGTTACATCATTTCATGTAATAAGGCGACGGTAGATGAATGCTGGGAAAAGACTGCCGTGATTTTCTGAGAAACGAATAACAGGTCGTAGCTCAAACTGGTTGCGGTGGTTTTGGATTGATAACAAGAATATTCTTCATGGAACGAGCTGGGGTCTTATTACGATGGTGATTGTTCTACCTGTTCGTTCAAAATCTGGTAGAAATTTGAAACGGGCACTAATTTATACAGTTTTTCCCCACTTCTATCTATGCACTGTAAGGACAACTCTATTTAGGCCCTACATAAAAATGTAATGCTCGTATAAATTAGATCCTATTTTGGCGTGCTTAATTAACATTTTTAGGAAATATCAAAAATTTACTTTAATCAATTGATTAATCGATTAAATCTTCTCTCTACACGTTGCCATGAAGGTTACCAATGACCGGCGCTGTGATATTATTTGCATCTTGTTAAGTCGCGTATAAAATATGATTAATTGCATTTATCAAATGGGCTATACAGCCAATACATAGTCAATGAAACGAGGTAAGAGATATATATAATGCCTGAATTGTATTTATTGATTGTACCTTTCGCGATGTAATCACTAGTTAGACCAATACGAAACAATTTGATTTTATAGGATTAAAGATAACATGTAAGGATATATAATAAATGTACAAAAGAATAGAATTTCCGTGTTTTCATTAGAATTTTTAACAATTTCCTAACAACGCAGATATGTCAGTTTTATGGTTTAATTTTTCAAAATGTCACTTCTCCAACTTCTAAAAAGTAATTATTTTCAAGACAATATGTAATAATTCCCAAGAAACTGTAATGTATTTTAATAAGGAAATTTTTCTACTTTGTATCCATGTATCCAAATTTTAATTCTACATCATTTTCAACATTATTAAGTTTTAGCGTCTAAAAACAAAATAGCATGTCTGTCTTATATATATTTCCTATATATTTCCTCTATTATTATCATTGTTTTTTTTTTTATATTATAGATATCGCGAGAGAATAAAATAATAAAATAAAAAGAGAGAGAAAAGCGTACTTACGAATCAGCAATGAATAGTCGAAGGGAGACCAAGTCAACGCACGATTTATTATGCTCATAAAATTTCAACTTCTGTATTTCGGATGCTGAGCAATTCTCCGGAAGAAACTGCGATCGGCGTAATAGGTAATCGAAAATCGCGGCGTTCACTTTCCGATATTCGGTCATCGTCAGGTCGTGACGTGTTTATAGTGTAGGGAACCATTGTTTGGCCAGTCAAACTTGATTGATAAAATATCAGCGAAACTACGTAATGTTTTTCTCAGCCTACCGGTAATTTCGCACATATTAATACCGGATTTTCAGACATACTATTTTCTTTCTAGACCTCTAAGCTTCATTCTAACAGTTGAATAATATTTTACAGTTTAATTTGTACCCCGTCCTGATATTCCATCGTTTACATAACCCGCAGAACTCTTGTATGAAGCAAATGTTATCTTTAGTTGATAGCTTTACACGCTGTATTGAAATAACAACTGACAAAAAGAAATACAATTTCTCAACTTTTCCTTTGTTTGTGATATAAATGATATATCGACCAGCGCGAGCTATATTAACGTGTATATTATTATCGTACAAAAGAATTTATGATTCCGTGTAGTCAAAAACACAAGAATAGCGTGTTGAAAAAATTCTGGCGAATTCCGGTGTCGGTATCCTTTTTCTAAGACGCCTCGATATCGAATGTCGAGCACTTTGTCATAGGAATATCGTAAGTCAATGTGCTTCTGGCGAGCTTTCGAATAGAATATCTTGAGAGGGTATCTTATCTTATCTCTAGAAGAAGAGAAAACGGGCGACATATAGATCCTTGTGTCCGTTTAGAAAATTTCGAAAGAGCAATGCGATTCATCCTCGTTTACTCTTAGGGAACAGCGCATAGCCATAGTTTATCGCACCCTCGCGAGCTTTACGACGCAGTGTCGTTACGATACATTACGATGTGTAATATCGCCTTGTAACGCTACCGGACGTTTATTTCGAAGGGGACATTTATCGCGGAGGAACGGAGATATCGCGCTCCCTGTAACGCGATGCGCCGCATCGGTCTCATCGTATCCCATTGTCGTCATGTTGATTGCGCCTCTAACGAGTCGTTGAATAAAAGTAACGAGCGAAAGATCGGCCGAGAGCGGCCGAGCGGAGAATCTCGTGCGAACCGAGACGCGTTTCTTCGCCGACTTCGGGAAACGTTACGCGAGTCCGACGTTGCGCGAGCTGAAGGAGGAGAACGAAGAGCAGGAGGACGAAGAGAAGAAGGAGGTTTACCGTGTCAAGGTCAGACAACTGCCGGGACCTGCTAATCGATATCTCGCCAAACCGGAGAAGTGGGGCGGACATGACTGCGACATGTTCTCGCATACCGGGCAATTTCTTATCGATCCGATGCGCGGAAGCTCTCGCTCGCTCGCCGATCGAATAAAAAGTATTTAACTGTATCTATCCATCTATCTGTCAGTCTATCTATCCGTCTGTCCATATGTCTGTCGGTCCGCCCGTCTGTCTGTCCGTCTGTCCATTTACCCGCCTATTTAAATTGTTTCCCTTCCGACGTATTTTCACGGCAACGATATTGTTGTAGCCCCGACATGGTCGTATTCGCGGGCCCGATTCGAATTTACTGCTTGATTTTCTCCCATCCGCTCTCTACGTTCTCCATTATTCCGTAATTACTATTGATAATAAGCAAATAACATGTGTGTGTGTGTGTGTGTGTGTGTAATATACATACTGTGTAGAAAAATACGCACGATACATGCCATTAGCGAGACGAAATGAGGTTTGGACGTACGGACGGACGGACACGGTGATATGATGTGCGGTAACGCGATATGCTCGTGCGCGGGATTTTTCGCAAGCCTTACCTTACCTTTTGCCTCGTGTACTTTTCTGCGTCGAGTACCGGAGATGCCCGATATCAAGGAAACGACGGCGCTCTCCTTCCCCGCAAGCAAGACCGGAAGCCTCGCCAACCTGATCCTGTTAGCTTCCTGAGAATCGATCTCGGGAGAATAAGAGCTATTGCCCGTGCACGTCACGGGAGACACTTGCCCGGGGTCGGAGGTATCGCGCGAGTGGCTTGTCGATTATTTTTACCTTCGGCCGCTGCGAAGGTCGGGGGAAACGACCTGCGCGCCGGTGGTAGTGCGAGCGCGCGAATGTATTACACCCAACGTGTGCCGTACCCGGCGAGGAAGGAAACAAAACCACGTCCGACCCGATTCGGCGAGCCCTTCTGGCGCTCGTTACTTCTCCACTTCCGATTTATGCAATTTTCATTCTCCCTAAAAGAATTTCTCGCGCGATAAATAGTTCCTCCGCGCCGGCTGTTTGCGCGCGCTCGTCAATTTGGAACGTTGTTTCCTACCCTTCTTCCCGCGGCGCGACGATCGTCCGGATTTTCTCCGCAAGTGCGCGCCAGTGAACGCTGATGTACCGTCGCGCGATTCTAATTGTGACAAATCCGCGGATTGTTGAATTTCCAGCGAGAATCGCTGATATCACCTGTACTCTTTCTCCGGCCAATCTTCCCCTCTATCCACGCGGCCTTCCGTTAATCTCGTTTCCGGCGGGCCGCTCATATAATGCGATCCAATCAACTTAATCCGCGGTATCAAAGCACTCGAAATCCGAGCGGTCTGATTCGAATGTTAATGAATGCGAGGAACGCGCTCGGGGGCGCTCCCGCACGATTGTATCCAAACAATTCGTTAGCAACTAACGAGATCCTCGTTACCGGCTACGTGACGGCAAGAATGATCGGCGTAAAAAGCGCGCGACACCGGTTGGTAATCCCTCTCTCGAGGAAGCGCAATCGTCCTGGCTGAAACCGATCGACAAAACCCCGTTGGCGGGCTTTTCAGCAACAGGTTGCGGCCGACGCTAATTTGCGATTAAGCGATCGGTCGCGCCCCGCGCCCAATGAAGACTCTTAAATCGACTTCGGCCGAGTTGCGACTGCAATCGCGACCGGTGGCTGGCCGTCGAGTCGTCGTCGCGTATCAATACACAGGCCGACGGTACGTACATGATGGACCGATCGTGTTCGACGTTGCATGGCCAACACCGCCGCAGCATCCCGTGTAGAAATCTCCCCATCTTTTCCCTACTTATTGTCGGATTCCGATGAGATTTCCCCCAAGAAAAGATTCCGATCGGCTTTTCCGAAGTAGAATCTGATTTTGATCAATTATTAGACAAGCGTGGGAAATTCTGATCGGTTCCTTGTTAGAAATCCGTACGTTTGCACGCGACAGAAAATACCGGGATCCCGGTTGGGCTGCGTTCGGAAACACACACGGTGTGCGCACTACTAGACACCGGCTGTTCTCAAACATTCAGGCTGCATTCGGAAACATCATTCTTTGGTGTGCTTTCGTAATTTCAGTCACTGAAGACACACTGTACTTTTACTAGTTAAGTTCTCGCGCTCTAAGACGAGCGCGACGTATCCGAGCAACCCCCTCGAGAACGTCGGGCCCACGTAGAGCGTACTCTTGTCGGCCGTGAATTCAATTTCTGTCCGCCGTCGAATGCATAAAGTGCGCGTCGGAAAATCTTCAAAGAGGGGAGAAAAAAAGCGCGAGATCGGACGGAATTGTCCGCGTCGCTGTTATCCTTCCATCCGTGAGCGAAGCAGCCTGATTATCATACTTCGCGAGCGGGCAGCAACAGCGACGGCGGCCGTATTAAAAGTTGCTGGAATAGTTGAGGGGGGGGGGGACTCGAGCCATTTCGCCGAGTACACAATTTAAACTTAGGCGGGGAAATGCGCATCCTTACCGGCCGCAATCCCGCATTCTCGCCGTCGCATCGCTTCGCGTCGCTCGCCGTGGGAAGGGTTGACGGAAGTGGCTCCTGCGCGTCCGTCCGTGCTGGCCTGCCCCGTGAGGCGCGCAAGAATGCCAATCTCGACGATAGAACGCGAGAGGAGTCTTCGGGAAAATGGAAAGGAGAACGGAAACGAGAAGGAATGGGCTGCGAACTCGTCGAAAATGCTCCGAATGCACGCGGCCCGGTGTTTGCGAAGGCGCGATCGCGCGTCGGGCATCCCCTAGCAGAAATTCAACCTCGTGGGTATCTGGCTGCGAAATTATTTTTCTCCATACGTACTCCGCGTTTTAAAACGCTAGTGTGGCGGATGTATAGCAGTTAGATTACATATTTTCGAATAAACAGCGCTATCAATTCTATCATATTCGATATATATAATAGGTAGACAACGGCTAGATCCTACTAAGCAAATCGATTCTACATTTTAATGAACAATCAGCCAGTAGCAAACTAATAATTGGAGAATTTAATTTAGCCTATATATATTAGCTAGTCATTAGTTTTTGATTCAGACCGACTAGATATATTTCTATTCCGGTATATATCGGCGTTAATCCATCGCTGATCTGACGCGATACGCGGAGGACACGTGGGGAAATTCGCGGCATCTCCGCAAGAAAAATGTCGACGGAAATATGCGAGGGTGTTACTTTGGGGAATTTTCCAAAGAAACTACGTAAATCAAATATCAATCGGGAAATTGCCCTTAATACATATACAGACGCGGCGATAAACACGCTCGCTCTCCGAA